TCTCATGTAATAGTGTAACACTCCCAGTGGTTATTCTCCTGCACACTGAGTATATTTTGATGAGAATACTTTTACATGAGAAGGATTTTTAGTACGTTAAAAGCAGGACTATTATTTGTATTTTCATATTTTCATATTACTAGTTTTACTGGACATGAATGTATTCATCTCCTGAGAGCAAACCTGCATGATCACCTTTTTGTATTTAGAGGATGAAACATCTAAATGAGCTAAACATCTGGTTATTTAACCAGATGTTTAGTTTCAGTCGACATATGACTGAAGTTATTCGTAATTATTGTAAACCATTTTACATCCATGTGATGATGTACAGTGGTTTGATTGTAACCACACACATTTACTGTACATGAGTATAAATCTGTATAAATAATTCTTTATTTACTGTTACTGTAACATAGTATGTTTACCATGTGGTATTAGTACTTTTACTGAAACATAGTATTATTACTGTGTGGTATTAGTACTTAAACTGTAACATGGTATTATTACTGTGTGGTATTAGTACTTAAACTGTAACATGGTATTATTACTGTGTGGTATTAGTACTTTTACTGCAGTAACGGAGCTGAATACTTCTGCCACAACAGATTAACGATCACTAACTAGCAGCAACGAGCCTTAACATCACATCCTCACTTGTTAGCTTGCTAACATGAACTAGCAATGTGTGAGTCTTTGCTCATTCAGCTCTCTTTAAAGACTTGCAACGTTCGCTAATATAAGCTAACAATAGCTAACTAAAGTCAGCTCGCTCACCGTAGCCTGCTGTCGATTAGCATCTTTATCTGGTAGACGTGGTTTGAGATATAAATCATTGTGTGTGACGCCTACTGACACTGAATCATCCAACAACAAGCTGCTATCACTAAAAGATTATTCGCTAAGCTAACCATTAGCCAGCTAGCTTAGCTATTAATAAACCAGCTAGCTTAGCTAGCTATCAATATTGCTCCACCACAAGTGTTGCGTGTGTTTTCGCTACCTGTATAATCACAGTCCGGTGTTTTCCTCCGTGTCTTTGAGGCTGAAACATGGCATCACATTTCATCATTTTTCCAGCCTACAGAACGGAATAATCATTGTTCGTAGAAAAAGGTTGTTGTTGTTGTTGTTGCTAAATATGAATATTGCTATTTGCCTTGCCTGGAATCAGTTCTTCTCGCTCGCTGCCTCTGACTCTCGCGAGGGTTCGCTCGTTAGGTCGGTGGTCGGTCGTTGACAGCTGCCGTTAAAAAAAAAGAAGAAGAAGAAGAAGAAGAAGAAGAAGAAGAAGGGGGGGGAAAGACCCGCTGGATTTTAATGGGTGAAACTGTGACGGTAAAACCGGAAGAAAGACTGAGAGGAAACAAGAGAAGAAGAAGAAGATGTCCGCTCCTCCTTTGTAAACAGATAAATAAAGACTAACTAACTAACAGACAATGGTGGTAAAAGTACTAATACCACACTGTGAAAATACTATGTTACAGTAAAAGTACTAATACCACACTGTGAAAATACTATGTTACAGTAAAAGTACTAATACCACACTGTGAAAATACTGTTACAGTAAAAGTACTAATACCACACTGTGAAAATACTATGTTACAGTAAAAGTACTAATACCACACTGTGAAAATACTATGTTACAGTAAAAGTACAAATACCACACTGTGAAAATACTATGTTACAGTAAAATTACTAATACCACACTGTGAAAATACTGTTACAGTAAAAGTACTAATACCACACTGTGAAAATACTATGTTACAGTAAAAGTACTAATACCACACTGAAAATACTATGTTACAGTAAAAGTATTAATACCACACTGTGAAAATACTATGTTACAGTAAAAGTACTAATACCACACTGTGAAAATACTATGTTACAGTAAAAGTACTAATACCACATGGTAAAAATACTATGTTACAGTAAAAGTACTAATACCACACTGAAAATACTATGTTACAGTAAAAGTACTAATACCACACTGTGAAAATACTATGCTACAGTAAAAGTACTAATACCACACGGTAAAAATACTATGTTACAGTAAAAGTACTAATACCACGCTGTGAAAATACTCTGCATAAGAGTACTAATATCACACTGTACAAGTACTCTGTTACACTAATTGATTAATGGACTAATCTATATCAAGTACCTCAAATTTGTACTTAAATGTACTTTGAGTAAATATATTTAGTTACTTTTCACCACTGCTGTTTGACAAGTTGTTCACCTCAAAATTATAACAAATACATTCAAATGATTAAAAGGAAAAACAGCAAATCCAAAACAACATAATCCACACAAAGCTGCATTTAAAAGGTTAAATTACACTTTAATTATTAAATACAACAACATTAATATTATGGGACAATCATTTCTATAATTTCAGTTATTCAGCTGAACAAATAAAAAATCAGAAAATGAAAAATCTGTTTTAAATATAACATTTAAATATTTATCTTCATAATCAGATTGTTACAGTTGATTTATTGTCCTGATCAATAAATCCCTGAGTGTTGATCGTGATCATAAAGAGAGAGAGAGACCTGCTCTCTGAGTCCACATTAATACAACATTAATAAAACATTAATAAAACGTGTTCATGGTGATTTCTTCACATCTTGACCCGAGACCCGGCAGCAGTCAGTCTCGGTCGGGTATCGAACCGTCGACCGTGAGCGGAGAGCTCCTCTGCAGATCAGCGTGAACCAGTAGAGCTGCAGGGGCCACAGCAGAGCGGCCCCCAGGTTACACTGCCACGGGGCCTCCAGAGGCACCAAGTACACCGGGACGGACGCATACCTGGAGCACAGAGCACAGCCGGTCACAACAACAACAACAACAACAACAACAGAGACGTTCATGATGATTCATTCTTTGTATTACTTTCTTCTTCTTTTTCAACCAACAAAACAGAAAATATCAGGAAAGCAACAAACACATGTAGTTAAAAAGTTCTCCCAACATAAAGTACTAATATCACACTGAAATACTCTATTACAATAAAGGTACTAATACCACACTATGAAAATACTCTGCATAAGAGTACTAATACCACTCTGTGCAGTAAAAGTACTAATATCACATTGTAAAAATACTGTTTTACAGTAAAAGTACTAATATCACACTGTATAAGTACTCTGTTACACTAATTGATTAATAGACTAATCTTTTCAGCTCCATATTTATTCAGATGAACAACGTGGAGTAACAACAACAACAACAACAACACACAGGTGTGACTCCCTCAGGAACTAAAGTACTTCTGTTACCTGCTGTAGGCGAAGTACAGGTAAGGGAAGAGCAACACCCGACAGATGAAGAAGGTGAGGAGCAGGAGGACACCGTTGACTTTGTGCAGCAGAGTGTGCTGCTGCTCATACTTACCACAGAAGAAGAAGGAGGAGAAGAAGAAGAAGAAGAAGAAGAAGAAGAAGAAGAAGAAGAAGAAGAAGAAGAAGAAGAAGACATATTTAACTTCATTAAACTTGAATTAATTATTTTATCATCACGTTGATCTGGAGTTTAAAAACACGTCGGCTCACCTGGATCAGGACTTTCCCCAGACAGACGAACGGCGTGCTGAGCTCAGCAAGAAACAACACGCCCTGAAAGAAATCACCTTTACCCTGCCTCCAATACTGACACACACACACACACACACACACACACACACACACAAACACACAAAAACAACATAACATTATAAGTATCAATCGGAGTGTTTTTGTATTAGACTGTATTAGAATTAGCCAGGTGTACCTAATCAATTGGATATTGCATATTTAATAATAATATTAATAATAATAACAATAATAATAACAATAAACACTGCAGCCTCTAGTGGACATTAACAGTACTACATATTGGGCTTCATAATTCATCTGTATACAGTCAAACAATATGCTGATGATTCACCTCTCCTCAGATGCTAACGCTAGCCGTGAAGCTAACCCTGGCTACTAGAGGAAACGTGCCATAGTTACCAGCGAGGCGGGGAAGCAGAAGGCCACCACGAAGACGTGATGCAGCACTATGAGCTTCTCTCTGCGCAGGTAACCGTCTACCTTCCACCTGACTCCGCCCACCTCCTCGTGACCTTTGACCTGCAGCCTGTGGCAGTAGCACAGGAACATGGCGTAGATGTCGTAGGCGAAGTAGGGCGTGGCAAACAGGATGTAGGAGTCCGTCAGCCAATGACTGAGCAGGAAACAAGATTATTGACGTGTTTATTGCCTTAAAGATCTAAATTCATAAATGTTTGTTTGCTGTTTGTTTGAACAAAGGTGTAACATGTAGACTTTGTTGGGCTGTTTCCATAATAAATCTTTAAAGTTACTGTTAGTGTTGATTCTGTCGCCCCCTGTGGACTAAAGTGGGAGTGTTTCAGAGCGCCAGTCCCTTTAGAAAACCTCTCATTTTACTGCTGCAGGGTCCACTTGTGCTCATTAATTAATTCATCTATAAATTAATAATTGCTAAAGTATCAGCTGTCCTGAGAGGATCCTTTTAAATGATCAGCTGATTTAAAATCAACTTACTTTTATTTCGGATTCCCTCGTTAAAGTTTCTTAAACATTGAGAGTTTTGTTGACTTCATTTAAAAGCAGTTCCTCTCTCAACAGCAGCTGCTTCCCAGAATGCATTGCTGCACGAGTCTGTGGTGTGATTTGATAAACAAATGCAGCTGAGACGAACCTCCACTTTGACTAGGAAATGAAGGAGCCGACAGAGGAAACGACCCCCCCCTCCACCTCCTCCTCTTCATCGTTGAGTTTCCCATCATGCTCAGCGTGCAGGATTACAGATCTCTGTGAGCGTCTTAGAGACTGAAATAGCTCCGACTGTTAATTAGCTTAAAGACCGACTGGTTTTAATTTAAACACACATTCATGAGGAGATTTAGTTTTTGTTTTAATACTGAGATTATCTTTAATTATGAGCCACCAACACTCAGCTACATCAGTAACATCCCAACACTCAGCTACATCAGTAACATCCCAACACTCAGCTACATCAGTAACATCCCAACTCTCAGCTACATCAGTAACAT